CCAGATGTAGTCATGGCTGGGTTGTGGGGCAATGGTGCCAGCTCAGCCACTGCTGACTTTCCTGCCCGAGGTACTCCCTTAAGGGTGCTTTGCGCCATTGCTATTTCAGGGCTGAAACTGAGATAATTATTCTGGTTTTCTGCCCCCAAGAAAGAGACGAGAAAAAAAAGTATGCTGTTAGAGATGCTCTTAACTGCCCCTCAGGTGAGCACTTGGCAACAGGGTTACTGGCAGAACATGAAGCCAAACTGGCTGTCAAAGCAGGATATCTAGTTACACCAGGGTGACACTCTCACAGGGCAACATCCAGATGATGTTGTTATTTCCTATGTTTATGGAAGGAGCCCTCTCTGTCCAGCAGTGCGCTGACGTATCAATGTGATCCCTGCCTCCAGAACTGGCAGGCAAAGGGGCGAGCACTGCCTAGAGTCAGAAAGAGGCAGATTTCTGTGGCAGCATTTTCTGTGGCCCAGCCTTTGAGCACTGCATCTCGCCTTATTATTACTATGCCCGAAATAGGTGTTGAGGAAATGTGAGAAGATGGGAGCTTCCTTTATTGGCTCACAGGGGGTGACTCCGCATCATAAGTAGTCACCCAAAGCCTCCATGTCCGCTGAGTGTGCAGCCTTATCGGATTCTCCAGGGGGTGGAGAGTGCTTTCTCATCTTGAGCCCTTCCTGGGAAGTTTCTGTTTCCAGCCCTGTCAGGTTCTGCATCTTTTCATCACCAGTACACATTTCACACGTGATTGTTTTGGTGGACCCACTTCCAGTGCTTGCAGTCTCAGCAGCAGCAAAGCGTCTAGCTTTCCAGAGTTTTGTCTTGTGCAGCGACAGTGCTGTTTTTCCCAGTTCTGAAATGTGGGACTGCAAAGGTACCAGGTGGAGCAGCTTTGGAGGTTCCCAGCACAGTTAATGGGAGCTTCATCTGGGAACTTCAGGTGCGTCATAGTCCGTAGAAAACTGCATTGTGGAAAAAGGAAAGTTTTTAAAATAAAAAAGCAGGTGACCAAACTGACGAGACCTGGCTAAGTCATACGAGTGGCAACACCAAATAGATTGGTGGTTTGGAAATTGAAGCTGTGGGTTGCGTAAAGGCAGGAGCCAGATCAAAGCACAGTCACTGAAACAGGCAGATAGACCTGTTGGGGACTAGAAGCTTTCAGGGCTAGCAAAAGCTGCGGCACAGGTGGAGGAACTGAGAGGCACACATTTCAAGCATAGGGACAGAACTGAAGGACAGTAAGTGAATGGCAGAAAGTTAAATTGATTGTGTGTGCGAGACATACAAGAAACAAAGCTCTTCTGTCCAAAGCCTGTGTGGAGCGCGGCCCCTGTGGGCTACAGGAGCTGTAGGGGGAGATCAGGGAGGGAAGTGACCTCAGCACCAGTGCAGGAGCCTTCTGCACCCTGCCAGCCGGACAAGCCAGGTCTGCTGGTAGGAAGGCATATGCAGATTTTGTTTGGATGTCTGGTTAAAAAAAGGAAAACAATCCAGTGGCATATTGCTGGGCAATACTGAAAATAAATGGGGAAAAAAGAATCCAAGATACTGTGTTTGAAAGTACTGTAATCATGCTAAGCTTGCATAAAATCAGTAAGCATCATCTCTTAAGCAAGAGCATTTCTGTGTTTCCGTATAGCAGATACCTTATGACAGAAGATCTTAACGGCAGCTCTTACAGAAAAGCCATGCTGGTACTTTTGAAGATACAGAATTACAATTGTGGGGTTAGATGTAACTGGGTAGAGTAAGCAACGCATGTTTAGGTAAAGGCAGCCAGCACATAGAAGAGATCAAATAGCACATTATTAGTCAGCTGAAATGAATGCAGCGTGCCTTTTTCTCTGGTTCATCTAGACTTTTAACTGCGCTGATGTGTCACATCGAGAGATACCCGTGTGCCGCAAAAAATCCCTGTGCCACCTAAAACTCCGGTGTCAGTGCTTACTATTCGGATCATGACGTTAGAAAACACCAGAGGAACCATACGCTGGCTAAAGTAACGAGTCAGCTATTGAAATAAAAATAGATGAGTGTTTTGGAAACTGAAAGGTGTTAGTTGGGAAGTGCCGTGGGAAACGCCCTGTGGAGTGGCTGAAGTTGTAGCAGAGTCCAAACTATGTTTTTCATGCTGGATGCAACCAATTCTTGTGGCTGTACAGAGAGGGGGCAAAATGGCACCTTCGTCTCCCCTGTAGCCGTCAGCAAATCCCTTGCATCATGAGGAGAAAATACATCCTTATGAAGGACCCAGAAGTGTCCTTCTCTGGTCTGACACAGGCGGAAGTGGATATTCTTGAGTGGGATGGTACTGTGGGGAGGGAGCACGGCTGTGCCCTGCCTGCCCTGAGGAGTGTCGAGCATGGGGCAGCCAGGTGCCGTGGGCAGGGGCAGCTGAACCCAGGCTGCAGACATTTGTTGCTTTTGAGTGTGCCCAGTTCCCTGATGGCTGTGTTATCCCCAGAGGTGCCTCGGAGTGCTGCTCTGCATGTCACTTCAGGCTTGGTGTAATCCAGGTTTAAAGCATAGACACGAGTGTTGCTCTTTTTTGCTCTTAGTGAGATGCTGGCGTGGGCCAGCGCCCAGATCCACTGCCAGTTTCACGCCAGTGAGAACCGGGTAGCACTTCCTCCCTCTGATGGCAGCAAGCATGACGTGCAGGCAGAGAACGAGACAGTCTTCGTCCCCAACAGAGGTGAGTGCTACTCCTGTAACCCCGGGTAGGGACGGTGAGTGCACAGTGAGCAGGAATCAAGTGGACTATAATGTGTGTCTTGAGGGCAGCACACGTAGAAGCGAGCGGGAAGTCCGTGTCACTTTTGTTGTGTGATTCCCTGGCAATGGCTGCTGCAGGACCTTGTTAATACCGAGATCAGAGTGGTGCTAGCTTGGAGCAAAATGTGAGGGTTGCCTGTCCAGCTGTTCTGGGAACACCTCATGATCTGACCAGGGCATGAGATGCTTGCTCCTCGACCCTTTCTCCTCCCCGTTCCTCCCCGTGAGGATAAGGCCCGGCTGGCCTGGGAGTGGTGAGTGCCCCCCTCGGCCTGGGCCCCAAGGCTGGGCAGCATCCACATGTTTCTTCTTCTCTTCCAGGAGAGCGGGGTCAGTGTATCCTGTCCACTCCACCAAAGATTCTCTTCTGTGACTTACGACTGGATCCCGGGGAGTCAAAGTCCTGTGAGTCCTGTCTTCTCTTCCCCCACTCAGAGGGCCCGCCTCTGGAGAGCCCTGCTCTCCAACCTGGCTTTGCAGACCTGAGCGTTGCAAGTGGGAGACCCTGGTGTTTGCAGAAGGCGAGGTGCTTTGGTGGGAGCATGAGTGCTAAGGAACTGCTGCATCGTCCAGAGTCTGTTCTCCACTGTATGAGGGCTGCGTACTGCAGGCTGTCCCTCAGTCCTGCCCCTGGCCCGTGTCCTTTGCCGCAGGTCCGTTGTGTAGCTGCGAGGCATAAAACGTTTTGAAATACCTGGCTGCAGCTGAAGGAACGGTTAAACACACCTGCATTTCCTTGACTTCATTTCTTCAGCCACACTGGAGTATTCCTGGGATTTAGGCTGGCATCCTCTGAAGGTCCGTGCTTCCTCTTCAGGTTGTGGCTGTCCTGGAGATCACAGAGTCTTTTCTGCCTGTTACAGTTTTCCTGCTGTAAAAGTGAGCACTTCTCATCTTTTCTGCTCAAAGCTCTCCATGTCTCCAAAGCCCTCAAACAGTGTCCTTCCAGTGGGTCCCCTTTAAGCTCTCCTCCATCAGTACTTCCCCTTTTGCTGTTCAGAGACATTTTCATCCTTTTCACAAGGAATTTGCAGCAACTCATTTTTGTTGTTCCAGGCAGCTTCTACCTGAGTAGACAGCTGTGAAAATACATGTATGTGCTGTTGTCTCTTGGTCGGTGGCTGCGTGACCCAGCCTGTCAGTTTGTGTCGGATCTCCCTTGCATTCCAGCGGTCTGTGGCCCAGCGGCAGCGTAACGTTAGGCGTTGCAGCCTGTGCGTGGACAGCTTCCTCGGGTTGTCCTGGGGATCTGCTGGGAACGGTTGACGGAGAGCTCGCAATTCACAGCACAAAGGGAGCAGAGAGGCAGTGCCTGTGGTGGAGGGGGTTCCGCTGGAGCATTGAGCTCTGGGGAGGTGAGAGCAGAGCTACAAGTGAGACCAAGGGAGCCATGGGCTGTGCCATGCTGGTTTTGAAGCTGGGATCTCCTGCCTTTCCAGGCTTGGAGGGGCCTGACTGGAGGGAAAGGCAGGCAGGGTGAAACCAACCTGGCTTGCCTAGGTGGTTAGTGGGGTGGGGCAGTGCTGTCTGGGGCTGTGTTTCCTAAACTGAAAAGCCTATCATCTGAGTACGTTTAGTTATTCACTTACTGTTCTACAGCAGCATGTGGGGGAAATGCCACATTGGAGCCAAGGTCCCCTGGACTTTCCGAAAGTGGCTGTGCCAGGGAGGAGGAGGACCAGCAGAAATCTCAGCTGGCCTGAGGCTCACCTGGATTGTCCTGCGCACCTCGCTGCTGGCAGGTGTGGAGCTGGAGCATCCATTCCCTGGGAGCAGGGGGAAACCCCTTTTCCTGGAGTGTCTCAGGCAGGCTCGGCAGTCTCTGGGAGAGCAGATCAGTGACTACAGTCCAATCTCCAGGTGGCTGGGATGGATTGGGAGGATTTCCTTGTGCACTAGCTTTGCAAGCAGAAGCTGTTCGGCCCCAGCTAAGCTAGCGACAGCCTGTCCTTCCCAGTGACATTGTATTGTGCGTGTGTCCGCTCTGCCACTGGGTGACACTGGCGCAAGCAGCCTGCATCTGCCTTGTGCTTGGATGCAGTTCCACAGGAAGGACACAAACCCTTCTACACTTTGAGGTTCCTTGGCCGTATGTTACAGCCTTTCCCCTTGGCTGTGTGATGCACACATCCATTGCATGTGTCATGCGCGGTGCCACTGTATGAGACACTGGGCTTTTTAGCACTGAAACCCCCATGTCACAGCCCCGGCTCTGCCAGGCTGCTCAGACCGATCCCATCAGCCTGCGGTGCTGCTCCTCTCACACGAGACTGCAAGCTGGCATGCTTGCAGATCATTCCTGGGGGCTCCTGCCAGCTCTGTGGAGGCAGAGTTAAGGCTGTGTGGGTGTGTATCTTAATTCTTCATTTCCTGTTTTTCAGAAGTTTTGAGTTTTGCTGCACAGTTTGGAAAGGCAAAAAAAACCCCCAAGAAATCTTAATTCTGCTTCAGTAAAGTACTGTGTTATTAAACTGTAGCCAGAGCTGGCTCATGTAGCTGAGGTTGTGTCAGGCTGTCTCTTGATAAAAGGCCTTGTTTTCAGTTGCTGATCAGCTCATTCCCCAATGTCTTCCCCTTGTTATGATGCCTATATGTTGAAGTTGACTCACCTCCCATCCCTTTGACACACTGCCCAGACTGAGCTCTTTTAAATTTGTCACCATAAAACATTTTCTCAAGCCCTCAAGTCATTTCTGTGGCTGTTTTTGCCTCCTCTCCAGTTTTGTAATACCTTTAAATATTTGGTAGATCACAGAGAGGGGAGGAAATGGAAGCAGCCTGGACACGGGCCGGGAGCCCAGCCAGAGCTTACAGCGGGTGGGTAAGGAAGGCATCCACAGCACCAGGAATGTGCTTCCTTCTGGGATGTGCACGGAAGCTGGGACTTCCCGAGTCTTGGCATTCCTCTGACAGGAAGCAAATCGCCCATCCTCCTCGGACAGCAGTGGTCTCTGCTCAGATTATCCTCACTGGGCACTCTTGTTAAGCCTAGTACAGGGGGTTATAGCAGTCTGCTTCCTTCCTTGGAAATACCTGATTTTCCTCCCTGTCAGGAGAGTTCTCAGCTTTATCTGCAACCTGGTCCAACAGGACAGCCTTGTGTTTTAAGGTGTGACAGCCTGTGGGTGCTACACACTAGCAAGGGCTTTTTTCTTCCTTCCAGTTCTGTTATTTTAAATCTAGAAGTGATATTTAAGATGTAACCCTAGCTTTTAATCTAAGCCTCAGTGTTTAGAATGTGCCAGACATGGGGAAGGATCTGTGGTTTCACAGCAGGATGCTGCCCTTCCTCTGGCAGGGTGTATCTGCGTCATGGTGGGCAAGCCAGAGAGGTGGAGACTTTCCACAGTTCATGGTTTGCGCCTTTCTTATTATACAGTGTGCAGTTTGGGAAAGCTGCAGAAGTGTTCATGCTGTGTTGAGAAGCGTTGGGGTTTGTGTGGTGGCCAAGGGGCTTCTAGAGGGCTGAATGTGGTGTAAAGCCAGGTTCTGGCATCTCAGAGGTCTTGGAGTCAGAGGCTTTCTGGTCTAAGTCATCAGTCTGTCAAGGGGGATACAGGTTGTTGTGAGGTCTCCTAATTGTTTCTTGGCCATTTAGACCCAGTGCTTCAGGGAAAAACACAGGAAGAAACTAATTTTTGTTGCTGAATTTGGGGTTTGTGTGAAGTGAATATCAAAAGAGGCATGAGGTATTGATCGGCACCTCTCTGCCGCATGGGGCAGAGCCCTGAGGAAACTGCAGTGTGTGACTGCATCGTGAAAGTGGCATGCAAAGGAAGTACGCAGAGGCAAATTCAGGTTGAACTCGTGATGAGTAAGTTTAGCTCTCTTGTGTTTGTGTTCCTGGATTTTACATCTTTCACATTCTTTTGAGGCAGAGTTTGTGTGTGTGGTTGTATGTGCTGGAAGCAATGCCTGGTTGACGGCGCATGTGATGTGAGGAGCAGTGTGCTGGTGCAGGGAAGCTGGGGATGTACTTGGCCTGCTGTGGGAAAGAGGAAACGGCAGAAAGCACCAGGCCCTGTCCCTAGTTCAGCCCCACTGCTGTTCCTGATGCTTGGTGCAGGGAGCCTGTGAGCGACAGCTCCAGGAGCTTCCTTTTGGCCTTGGAAAGCAATCTCTTCTGCACGCCTTGCAGATTCATACTGTGAGACACTGCCCATAGATGGCCCTCCCTCTTTCCGGGGACAGTCGGTGAAGTACGTGTACAAGCTGACCATCGGCTGCCAGCGTGTCAACTCCCCCATCAAGCTCCTGCGCGTTCCCTTCCGTGTCCTCGTGCTGCATGGTAAGGCCACGCGCTGCCCTCCCTGCAGACACAGGCCTGGCTGCACCCTGCCCCGCTGACGCTCTCACCTTCTCCCCAGGCCTCAAGGATTACCAGTTCCCACAGGATGAGGCCGTTGCGCCCTCGAACCCCTTCCTAGAGGAGGAGGAGGGCTTGAAGAAAGACTCTCGCCTGGCGGACCTGGTGACAGAACTGCTCATGGTGGCCACTTCCCGACGCAGCCTGCGTAGGTCATATCCCCTGCTTGAACCTGCTGTCCTAACCTGGGTGTGAAGGACAGCCCAGGGCTCGATGCAAAAATCTCTCGCTGGCGAAGCAAGGCTCTGACTGGGGCTGTGGAGCAGCTCCATCAGGGCCCTCTTGGGTCAGAGTTTCCCATGGGTTCCTCCCTACCAGTCTCAGGCTCCTCCTAATTCAGCCAGAGAGACCCCTCTCCCCAGCATATCGCAGCCAGCGTGTGGTTTGCTCTTGCTCACTCCAGCCGTTTCCCAAAGGGCCTGTCCCTCACAACCAAGCAGCAGGCGTGGGGTCTGCTGGGCTCTGTGATTAACCAAGAGCACTGTATGGAGCAGAGCCTTGTCCTGCTGCAACCCTTTCCCCGCCTATTCTTGCTCCACAGACCTGTATAACATCAGCAACACTCGTGGGAAGGTGGGGACGTTCTGCATCTTTAAGACCATATATAAGATCGGAGAGGATGTCATTGGGACCTTTAACTTCTCAGAAGGAGACATCCCATGTCTGCAGGTCAGTGCTGGCTTCGGGGCCACTGTGGGGAGGGGCAGGGGTTTGGGGTGGGGGAGAGAAAGAAAGGATCGGGATGGCACTGGGCTGCTGTGGGGGTTTCTAGTGAGGGTTTCTAGTGGGACCCAGCTGAGGTCCCCTTGGGGTGTGAGATGGGGAAGGTCTCCAGTTCTGAGCTTGTTTGGGAAACGGAGGCCTCAGGGCTTTGCGACAGGGCTGTGTGAGGTTATGAGAGCCAGCACCCTGCCAATTGCCCTGCAGTTCTCGGTGAGCCTGCAGACGGAGGAGAGCATCCAGGAGGAGTTCCA